CATGTGCCCTATAGCAAAAATCTCTTCAGTAACCAGCAGATGGTTACATTGCTGGACTCCTACCTAGTTGAATGTAGTTAAAGCCCCAGACTCAGTGGTTTAAAACTCAGGCCAGGTCTATGTGTGTGTGTGTGTGCCCCAAGTCCCAAGAACATGGAAGAAAAGGAATTGTGACGTAGCTAACCCCCTTGAAGGGTGATTTCTCACTTTTTGTCTCTCTTTCTCTTCAGCAAGCACATGGACCCTATAGCAAAAATCTACCTAAAGAATAAAACCAAATATATTCAAATTAATTAAATAAAAAATGACATCCTGAGAGCACTCCTTCTTGCTTGGAAAGGGATCGTCTTCCACAGAGACAGGATATATGAATGCTCCTTCTCACTTCAGCCCTCTTTCTTCTCTCAAAGTCTCCTTATGCTCTCTTCCCACTCACATCTTCCCTTCTCCATGAAGCTTTCCTCAGCTCTTCTGCAACATGTAGCCATTTTATATAAAAAAAAGACTATAAACCTCATTATCGACATTACATTTTGGGTTATGTTATGAGCACCCTATTACTGTTAACATTTTTTGGGACTTCTAACAGGAGGAGGATTTATTTTTGTTTTGGAGGAGGGAGGGAACTCCTTATTGAATGTTTAACAGAGAAGTGAATTTGAAGCAGGGCATGCATAAGAAATCGCTGAGTGAATGGACAGAGCAGTGACTCTATAACAGGTCCTATGTTAAGGAGAATGTTTTCTCTGTCTGTATGGAAGTTGGAAATGGGTGATAGAACAATAGAGTCAACATTTCTCTCTGCAATTGCATCAAGCTTCTGGCACAAAACAAATGCCCTTAAAGTTATTAGCTCAGGCAAGCCCATGGTCTAGTGGGTAAGACAGCTGGATCACACATGACTGACCTAGCAGTTTGAGTCCCAGACCTGGTAGCTTGAAAAGCAAGCTAAGTGCACGTGAATGCATGCTCAACCCTGAAAGGATAGGGATATTGAGGAGAAGAGATAGGAGCGTGACTATGCCCCATTGGGGGGTGGTGGTGGCTGATTTCTCTCTCTCTGTCCCTCTCTCTGGCAAGTGTATGTACCCTCTGGCAAAACTTAAAAGCAAGGGCCATCAGGTGTTGTGCTGTTAAGGTGCTATATATCTCATGTCACTGACTCCTGAGATTGGAGTCCTGGACCCTTGAAACACCTGCCTGTGTGTGCATTCCCCAAATCCCGAGAGGAAATTGAAGGAGAAGAAACTGGAGCATGGTCATCTCCCCAGGAGGGTGATTTCTCATTTTCTTTCTTTCTCTCTCTTTGGTGAGTGCACACACCCTATAGCAAAAACTAACAAAACAAAACTACTGGTCTCAGTTCAGCACATGGAATTGAAAGAGACATCTTGGAAGCAAAATGGGTAGATCAAGAGCTTGAGATGAGGCAAAATGGCATTCTCTGTTTGGACCACCAGAGTAGAGGTGAAATGCAGAGAGGAATATAGTATTTATTTGTACATGACTGAGCAACAGCTGCTGCACATGGAAGAACTTTATATATCTAAAGGGTGAGTCATTAACTTATTCTGCATAGGCCATTTCAGTCACATAGGGGATTAATGGTCATGCCTGAAAGTATAAGACTCAAATGCTAGCTCAAATAAAAAAAAATCATCGTGACATAGTTCTAGGAGAAAATTTGTTCAGTATTCACTACTTCCTTCTAAAAGAACCAATTCTACTCATCCATTTTGGCCTAGCTTATTTGTCCTTGGTCCATAAAACACTTGTGAAGCAGTAGATTAGATGATATTTCTTTTTTTGACCTCCAGTCTTAAAATTACTGGACTGGGTGGTAAGTATATAATTGTGTATGGTTCAACTTGCAATGTTACTATGCTGTCTTTTAATGGGGTGATACTCATATGGCTTAAAATTTATCATTTTAAGTGAATTGTTCAGAGGAAATTAGTACACTCAAAATGTTGTGTGCCTACCATGTCTGTCTATTTCCAAAATGTTTTCAGCATCCCAAAAGGAAACTCTATATCCACTAAGTTGTTGCTCCTATTTCTCCTTGCCTCTAGCCTGTGGAATCCACTAATACATATTGATTTATCTATTTTAGATAGACATTGATTATGTATTTATCTGTTCATGTAATGGAATCACACATGTCTGGTTTCTTTTATTCAGCATAATGTTCTTGAGGTTCATCCACATCATGATATTATTTCCCCTCAATACTTCATCTCTTTTGTGGTTCAGTAATATTCCATCATATGCATATGCCACTAGGTTTTTTTTTTTTAATAGATTTTTGCTACAGGGCATGTGCTCACCAGAGAGACAGAGAGAAAGAGAGACAAAAAGCAAGAAATCACCACCCAGGGGGGATAGCCACATCACAATCCCTTTTCCTCCATTCTCCTCTTGGGATCTTGGGTTTGCATGCACATGTACCCGTTGTATACCACTATTTTCAATGCACTCATTTGTTGATGAGCATGTGGATATTTTCCCTCATGGTTATTGTGAATAGTGAGTACATGAACATGAGTGTATATGTTTATTTTGGTAGCAGTTTCGAGTTATTTGGGAATATAGTTAGGAGTGAAATTGTGGAGTCACAGGATAATTCTGTATGTAACTTGAGGAACTATCAAACTAATTACCATAGTGGATGAATCATTTCAGTCTTAAAAACACACAAGGGCTCTAATTTCTGCCCACCCTTTCCATTACTTTCCATTTTCTTTCTTCTTTTTTTATTTGTTAAATAATGCCTTCCAGGATAAGCAGATGGTGGAATGCTTATGTCACTGGACTTCCACTTAATTGACCATGGTTCAAGTCCCAGATCTGATGGCTTAAAACTCATGCAGGGCATGCGTGTGCCCAAGATCCCAAGAGAAGAATGGAGGAGAAGGGATTATAGTGTGGACATTCCCCAAGGGGGGGGGTGATTTCTCACTTTCCAACTCTCTCTCTCTGTTTCTCCAGTGAACCCATGCACCCTAGAGCAAACATCTCTCATATTTTATATATATATATGTGTGTGTGTGTGTGTGTGTGTGTGTGTGTATTTATATATAGCCTTCCTCATAGGAATGAAGTAGTACTTCTTTGTGTCTTTGATTTGCATTTCCCTAAAGACTAATGATTTTGAGCATCAGTTCATGTGCTTATTAGCCATTTGTATAACTTCTTTGAAGAAATGTCTATTTAAGCTCTTTACTCACTTTTTATGGGCAATTTGTCTTTTTGTTGTTGAATTGTAAAAGTTCTTACATAGTATAGATGCACGTCTCTTATTGAATACAAGCCTAAGGGTGATTTTTTAAAAAAATACAGACTTAGGGGTTGACAGTTTTTTGTATTTTTTCTAAGTTACTTTCCAAACTTAAAATATATCATTTTGCACACTTTTGGCTGCCATGGCTTCTGATAAAAAATTAGCTGCTGGTCTTACTAAAGATCTCTTTTACATGAGTCATTTCTTTCTTGTTGCATCCAATATTCTTTTTTACTGTTTGATTCTAATATGTCTCAGTGTGACTCTTTGACTTGATCTTAGATTTGTTGAGTTTCTGGCATGTGCAGATTCATGTGTTTCATCAAATTTGTGAAATTTGGAGTCATTATTTCTTTTGGAGAGATTTTCGCTATAGGGTGCGTGCGCTTGCTAGACAGAGAGACATAGAGACAGAAAGCGAGAAATCACCCCCCAGGGGGGATGGTCATGCCACAATCCCTTCTCCTCCATTCTCCTCTCGGGATCTTGTGCGCGCCCGCACACATGCCCGGCGTGAGTTTTAAGCCACCGGGTCTGGGACACGAACCGCGGTCGACTACGTGGGAGTCCAGCGACATAGCCATTACGCTAACTGCTGGTTCCCGAGTCATTGTTTCTTTAAATATTATTTTTGCCCCTTTATTTCTCTTCTGGGACTGTTAGAATGTATGTTTGTGCACTTGATGGTGTCCCATGAGTCTTTTAAGACCTCTTCACTTTGGGAACCAGCAGATGGCATAGCAGTTATATCACAGAACTCCCATATGGTTGACTGGTTTGAGACCCAGACCTGGTGATTTGAAAATCACACTGGACGTGTGTGCACGCATGCCCCAGATCCTGGGAGGAGAATGGAGCAGAAGGGATTGTGGTGTGGTCATCCCCCACAGGGGGTGATTTCTCACTTTCCCTCTCTCTGTCTCTGTCTCTTTCTCTCTTTCCAATGAACACTTATACCCTAAGGCAAAAACTTCTTAAAAAACAATCTCTTCACTTTTATTTATTTATTTTTTTTACCTTATTTCTTCCATGAGAGGGAAACAGACAGGCACTTCCAACAGAATCTTCAATATTATGTTCCCAGTCTTAGCCAGCCTGGGTCATGCCATGTCAGTTCACACCAGCGTGTGCAGAGAGACCTCTGAATGTGCGCCCATTGCCCTCCCTTGTGGGTTTAGCATCCCAGAGCATTGCATTGCTACCATGCCACCACGACTGGCTCCTCTTCACTTTTTTTTTTTTTTAATCTTTTAACAAAATACAATGTTGCGCTCTTCAGACTGGATAAATTTCCTATCTTCAATTTCACCATTTCTTCCTTCTGCCTGTAGAGATCTGCTGTGGAATCTCCCTAATGAATGTTTCATTGCAGTAGGAGTTTTCAGTTTCAGAATTTCCACTGACTTTCTTTGTAAAATTTCTATCTCTCTATTGACATCTGCTGTTTTTCTACTTTCCTTTCATTCTTTGCCCTTGGTTTACTTTAGTTCTTTCAATTTATTTAAAACTAGCTACTGTGCCAGTCTTTCACAGAATAACCAAACTGGTCGAAATGCACAATGACAATGTTTTAAGAATTAGCTCCATATTTGACCTTGTACCAGAAATCCATACTGGAATTTAAGCAGGCCAGCAGGACTGTGGCCATTTTGAAATTATGACAGGTCCCTAAAGAGAACAATGTGACCAAGTGCTGAGTCATAGAGCTGTTTGAGGAACGCTCAGATGAGAAACCAAGTGTGGGTGTTTGAAAGACTCAAGATAATTACTCAAGAGAAAGCGATTGACTCTGATTGATTGTGGTGAGGAACGATTTCACGTGCTTGTACCTTGTACCTGTAAATAGCTTTTCAAGACAGTTTGATGGTACCTGCTGACTGTTTCCCTGTAACTGGTTACAGAAATAAACTCCCTTCTCAAGCCTCTGCTTCTCCTTTCATTGACCACGAAAAGATGCAGCGACTGGTAACAGAAACACTGGTCACCGTCTCCACAGGTAAGAGTTTCAAAACACAGATGAGCAGTATCTGTGTGCTTTTTTTTCTTTGTAAAAGTTTTTTTAGAAGAAAGCAAATAAGTTCTTTGAATTTGTTCCTTGGTTATGTCAGACATCCTCTGTATATTACTAATGCTCATCTAAATAAGGCATCAAGCCAAGGAATTTAAATATATTTTTACTCAGAAGTGAAGTTGGAGTGTTGAAATCAGCTGTAAAATAACATGTAAAAAATGACCACCTTAAAGAAATTGAATTTATGCTTCTTAGTTCGTACATTGAATCGCTGGACTAAAAGAAGAAAGCCTACCATAATGAATTTAACCCAGACCCACGTAATTTGCTACCTTGATAGGGATATACATTGGAAATAAACCTGAACATATACTACAACTTATAAGGATTTTAGGTTGTTTCTTACATTTTATTTATATTATTCTAGATATTTCATGCGCCAGGTTATTCAACTATAAAAAAGCAAAGGAGGAAAAAAAAATAAAGAGAGAGAAAGAAAGAAGGAAGCTGACTTCTTACTGAGGGATTTTTCTTTTCCCCTAGCCATGTTCCTATCAGAGTGTGTGGTACTTGCAAAAAATAACAACTAATTATGTGGTCTCCGTTATAAATTTCCTACCATTATTTCAGATGAATATCCCTTGTTATCTTCAAAAGGTTATACAGCATTTGAAATTCAAAAGGAAGGTGTTACCTGCTATCTTGCATAAATCTCTAACAATTGCAAATGGAATATATTATCGTCAGATCCGATTGCTTATATCCAATTTTACCTCATCCTAGCATTTGTGAAGGTAAATGCATCGTAACTTGCTTTTTCTTTTCTTGGAATTCAAAATTGTGCATATAAATGAGAATATCCATGTTGTACAATTCCTTGCAGATTGTCTTTTTCCATTACTGCTTCTATACAAAGTACAATTTCATTGAATGGTGAGAAGGGCTGAAAAACTTTATTAACTCTAACTGAAATATAAAAGCACATTCTTTTTAAATGCAAGTAGGGGAAAACAACTTTATTTCCACTATTTAATGTAAGCATTACAAAAACACACAATACTTGTTTGAATGCTCCTGATTCCTTAAGGTCATTTGTATTGATTGACTACTGTAAGATTTTATATTAAAGTCTCTTTGTTTAAAGTTTTTCAGAATGTGAATCCATGGAGACTGCAATTTGCATATTATTAACAATGTAGATTAGTAGACAGGAAAGACCTAAATCAATCTAATAAACCTTTATTGAGTAGTCTTTCCCTATCACTACAGTAGTTGCTGTTGTAGCAAATGCAATCAGAAGAAGATGGAGACAAGTTTGGTGCTAAATCTGACTCATAATCAGAGTCACTTTGGAGGGTTAAAAAAGTAGAGATTGCTGATCCTGCTCCAGCTTTACTAACTGAAAATATCTCAGAATATTGACCAAAGAAATGTACTTCTTAAATGTTCCCTGGAAGATAATAATGGCCAGCCAGTATGGGGACTACCAAAAGAAATGACCTTTTATGCCCTCTGAAAGCCTAGAAGTTTAGGATTCTATAATTGAGTGTGAGAAGTTATAAGTGGAGAAAGAAGTGTGGGCAGGCAAAAAATGGCACCCATATTCAACTTTATTATGATTGAAACATGAAGCATCCTTTTCAGCCCATTTCCAACCAAGTCAATGAAAAATCTACTTTTCAGTAATATGCCTATCAACCACAAGAGGGCTCCCCTGAAGAAAAAAAAAAAAAAAAAAAAAGCAACCAAACTATTTTAAACTTTGTTCTGTTTAGAACCACCTCATTTATGTACTTATTCATTGAAAAGCATACTTGAAATGTATTCTGGAAAATTTTCGAACCCCATCTAAAGGGGATAATACTAAAGCATCAAGAAAGTCAGTGATACAGTTGATAACTTTTAAGCATAAAGCCAGGGGAGGTTGATGTTTTAAAAATATGGTAATCTACTAAATGGGGTAAACAATAAAGACATTATTTACAGTCATTTTATTTTCTGATTTTTCCTTACGGTGTCCTTTACATACAGCTCATCTATTTTCTTTACCTTGCTGTCTCTTTCACTCAAGGGATTAAAGTGTGTGGGCAAGACCTACTCCATGAGAGTGTGAAACTACTGCCATTGCCCTCCATGAACTAGCTGAGGAACCATTAAACTTAGAGCATGGGAACAATACACTTCCGGTATCCAAACCAGCCTTAGTCCTCAGTTTCTCAGACCATCTGTCCAGTATTTAATCCATCAAAGATGCAACCACACAGGTCTGTTCAGGGGCTGTGTAGCCCAACTTGGGGAATCCTCCATGAGTGTTTCAATTAGAATTCAACATTATAACAGTTTTCTTCCACTGCCTTTCTCACTTGGCTGCTTCCCTGTATATGAGGGGACTTCAGACGCTCTTGGGAAAATGGAATTAAAGTACAAATTTATTTTGGTGCAAAAAGATTTGAAATTCATGCATAGTTTTTATGATGCTCATTTCTCATAAACTTTTTGAACTCTGCTTGTGTAGTAGGAAAATTAAAACTATTTATTTTACTTTACTCTCCCTCAACACAACAGACCACTTCTGACAACAAATGTGGGTGTGCTTGCATGTGTGTGTTGTCTCACACAGCAGTTCTCTAGCAGACGCCAACTGGGTGTCCTAAATGTCAGTTCAATTCTGACTCTAACCAGAGTTAGCACAGACCCCTCTGGTTGGCTCAGTCCCACGCAACTGTTCCTGACTTTAGATGTCAATTACAAGTCCCAGGTTGTGATCAATGCTATTCATCTACCAGGTATAAATTGGGTTCCCATGACCCCCTCCTCAGTTTGATTATTCGGTAGTGCAGCTCAGAGAACTCAGAGAAATGCTTACTGTTGACATTTTATTATAAAGGATGCTACAAAAATACAGATGAAGGGCCAGGTGAAGAGATGTCTAAGGTGAGGTATGTGGGAAGGGAAGTGCTTTCTCAGTCCCTTCGTATACTCAACAACCTGGGAATGCTCTGAACACTGTCTTTTGGGATTTTATTGGTTAATCACCAAAGCCAACATCAACCCAAACTTCAGTTCTCTCTTGGGAAATGGGCTGAAAAGGATGAAAATCCCAACCTTCTAATTACATGGTTGACTTTCAGACAACCAGCCCCTTTACCAAGCTCCCCTGGAGTCCTCAGCTCCCAGTCACCTTCTCAGCATACAAAAAGCCACTTATGACTTCAGAATTTGCAGGGGTTTTGGATCTGTGTGACAGAAAAAGAAGAAACAGGACAAAGATCGAATATATATTTCTTATTGTATGTCACCATATCACAGATCCCTAGTAACATGTTATTCGGGAAAAGTCCCACAATCTGTGTTATGTTCAGTTCATGACATTCAAATTCACATCACTAGAGACTTTCAATCTTTGCAGTCAAGAGCTTCCTCAGAGCTACCCCAGTGATGCACGCTCATGTTTTCCCTCTGACTCTCCATATCTGAGGGGTAGGTCCTATCTCTCTGAACAGCAGCTAAGGGTCATTTTTTGGGTAAAGATGTCTCTCCAACTGAGGACTTTCTTAGACCCTCAGTTAGACCCCAGCTTGGCAGACACCTTATAACTGGCCATCTGATGGCCAAAGCAAAACACTTAGTATCATCTAAGGGTCCCCTGACCCTTCTGGGCACCTTTTCCATCTGACTCTTCATCAGTCTGGCTCTACATATTAGTCTTTCACCTCACATTCTGATGCATCCTATATTGCACCTGATGACCACTCTCCTTGGGACATTTCTATGAGTTAGTGATTTGGGACTGGAATAATCTAAGCAGAAAAGAGCTAATCCATTGACCATGGCTCCCTATCCCCAAGTCATCTGGTTACCTGGAGCACATACTCACTATAGCCAATTCTGATATCATTTGCAAGAGCAAACAAGGTAATCCCCTGGCTTCTGAAAGCTTATATATCAGCCAGCAGATTAAATATATGAATCATACTACCAGAATGGGGAAAAAGGGTAACTGAACTGTACAAACTAATTTAGAAGTTATGGAGTCTGTGTTGCAATATATATTGATTGGCTATTGTGGGACTTAAAACCTTAATCTGTTTTGCTAACATAACAGCATGCAAAGCTGTTGGGCATATCATTTACTGCCTGTCCATAACACAGTAAAGGGAAATGATGCTTCCTTTTGCAGTCTTACAGGCTTTCAACCAACACCTGTTCTTTGCCAACTTTCACAAAAGAGTTAGCAGGTGATTCTCAGGTGAGGAGGAGACTAACTGTCCTGTAGAAACTAAGAGTAAACTAGGAAAGAAAACATCTACAGAGCAAGAACAGCAAAATATAATCAACTATAGTAACTGATTTATGGCTACAGCCAGATAAAACAGGTTTCTTTAAGCTTCAAGGCTGAGACTTCTATGATGGGCGATGAAGTCAGGTTGTAGGTTGAGAGAGGGAAGGAAATGTATGGGCGGAAGTAAGATATATGTCCAAGGTCACTTTAAAGGATACAAAACAACATTCGTGTAGATTGTGACAACCATAGCTACCACTCCACGTCACATGTCCAGTGATTGTACATTCTGCAGAAAGAAAAACACTGTAGGCTCTTTTCCTCTCCAGGTGCTCTCCTTAGAGTCGTCATCCTATGGGAAAGCTCACAACTGTTTTTATTGTTACATTGGTCACAAGCTATGTGTGGTGAAGGAGAATTCTAATTATATCTCCATGATCTTTGACTGCTGGAGTTACTTCTGCAATGACTTTACCTTATAATTCAGCCACAGGAGAGTAGCCATGTGAGCCTATTCTAGCCATGTGAGTACTTTAAAAGCAAGTGGTTTCGCAGACTGCATGCAGAAGGAAAAGTCAGAGATTTCAAGGATGAGAAGAACTCAATAGGTTTCTCTTGTCTGCAGATGGAGGGAATCATATGCACAGGAATTTATAAGGCCTTAAAGAGTCCAAAGGGAATCATGCTGGATGCCAACAAGGGA